CCCCCCACGGCCTCTTGCCAACCCCACCCTCCGGGGCCTCAGATGCTCCCCAGGGACCCACCTGCCCTCCCAGCCGAGACCACCACCCGCTTCCTATAAATAGCCCAGGCAGACACACCTCATTGGACTCTTCCCTCTGGATCCGGCTGCATCTCCAGGGCGGGAGCAGAAACCTGCACCCCACCTCCGTCCCCACCAGTGGCCTGAGCATCTGGTGAGGTCAGGCGTGGACAGCTCAGACCAACAGACTTGACAGGTGGCCACGCCCCAGTGCCAGCAGGGATGGCAGGAGCCCAGGGCTGCCCAGTGGCCCACGTGTCCCACATGGGATGGTCAGGACACCGAGCGCCCCTGAGGGGACCCGCCAGGTGCCACCCCTCAGCCCCTGGGCTCTCAGCAGCCCTGAGGCCAGCCCCCAATATCCGCACTTCCTCCTGTTCACAGAACACACGTGCTGGGCTCGTCACGCTGTCCCTACCCCGGGCTTTGCGGGCTGCGGCCATACTGGCCTCCTGGTGGCCCACAGTCAGCCTGCAGCCCCGCTGAGCGGGATGCCCTACTCGTCCACCAGTTCCCAGAGTGGCCTCTCAACTCCCCGTCAGGGTCCCACGCGCTCCGCCAAGGACCCTGATACTGCGAGGCTGGTCCTCGTCGGGGGACGTCTGAGCTGGTCCTGGCTGTGCTCCTTGCCTGTCCCTGTGGAGCACAGGCTCCAGGAGCAGAGTCCTCTGTCGTCCCTCCAGAGCGCCTCCCCCAGCATCCAGGACAGAACTGACCACAGACAAGGGGCCCAACCAACAGCTGCTCCAAGGAAGGTGCCGGGAACTAGCCGCTCGTCCCGACAGGCTTCCCCCAGAGCCTCTGGCCAGCGTCCACCCGCCAGCCAGTCACCGTGCTTTCTGCCCAGAACCCAGGGTGCCCCGAAAGGCACCCAAATGTCCCCACCAGCTTTCGACAGCCTCCCCTCCGACAACCAGAGACCCCGGCCGGGGTGGGGGCATCTGAGAGGGAGGGGCCTCCGAGGAGGAACCGGGAAGTGGATGGGACCCCCCGGCTGCCCGCGCGCGGCCACAGGACGAATCGTGATCTCTCGCAATGTGAGCCGCTCCCCTCCCGTGGGCCCGGCCGCCACGGGGCTCTTACCTGATAAAATTCCCGCAGCCAGTTCTTCTGGAGGTTTTCTGGCTGTAAATTAAGAAGAAAAGACAGTCAGGCCAGTGACACAGCCCTGACGTCCGCGAGCAGAGGCCAGTGTGATGGCCCATCTGCCGTCCTCACCATGGGGGCTAGGACGCGACACGGGGCGGAGGACACCCTGCTCCACTCGGGAGACCCCATTCTGCATGGGGAGCTGGTCCACAGCTCGTCCAGGGAAAAGGGGCAGAGCAAGGACAAGCCTCGCCTGGTGATGGGCAGGCACCACAGCCCTGGATCCAGAGCTGACCTCCAGCCTGCTCTGTCCCCGGGGCGGGGGGTGGCGGGGGTGGGCTTGGGAGGGGCTGCCCGCATCCAGGCGGGGGTGTCCGGCAGAACCTAGAGGCAGGGGGCCCGGGCCAGGTTATGAGAACGTGGAAAGAGCCACGTGGCACCAAGTGCTGGTTTCGGGCTTGCGGACACCCCAGGACACAGCCAACACAGAGTGCCCGGTCCCTGAGAAAACAGGAGGCCGCCTTTTCCCACACGGCCTGCCGGGGTCTTGGACCACCAGGCCAGCCAGCTGAGTGAGGGGGATGGTCCAACCCAACCCAACGCGGCCAAGGTGCTGAGAGGTCACGGCAGGCCTGGACAGGGACGGAAGACACGGCAGGGATGTACGTTCAGTGGGTGCAGAGTTTCAGACACGGGAGATGAAAAGTTCCTGAGATCTGGTGACATCAGTGTGAATGTCCCTGATGCTGCTGGACCATGCTTAAGAACGGCGAAGATGACAAATCTAATGTTATGTGTTTTCTACCACAATTCAAAACAAAAAAAGCAAAACCCCACCCACCACGCCTCAGGACTCAGACCCCTGATCCAAGCAGAGCTCTGGACGGCGAGGCTGTGGGCCCGGAGCCAGAGTCCAGGCTGACCAGGGCTGGGCCCAAACGCGTCACCCACAGCCCAAGATGCCAGAGTGCACGGCTGCCACACGGGGAGGTGCTGTCGCCCGCTGATGCGTCTGTGTGTCCCGAGGGCAGGAAGACGGCACTGGAGGCAGAGCAACGAACGAAGGGAAAAACGGCTGGGAAACCAGAGCCTCGCAGACCACAGAGGAGGGTGTAAAGGAGGCTCCGCGCATCCGCGCAACAGAGACGGAGGCCAGCGTCCAGCCAGGTGTGGGGCCTTCCAGTCTCCAAGGCCAAGTTCGGGGCCGGGGCCCAGCCTCCAGCCCCCACGTCCTGCACGGGGAGGAGGGCATGCCGTGCCTCTGTCTGTCACCCTCCCAGGTGAGCAAAGAAAAGCACGAGCAGGCAGGCCGCCCATGGAAAGACCAGGCAGAGGGTCTGAACAGACTGAGAGCCAACAGCCCATGGAAGATGCCAAACATCACTAGGCGTCGGGGAAACGCAAACCCCAACCACGGCGAGATGCCGCCCCACAGCCCGGGACGCTGACACAGAGACAAGCCTGCAAGTCTGGGGAGACTGTGCAGAAACGGACCCTCAGACACGGCTGGGGGCGGGGGAGGAGGGCGTGGGCGGTGCAGCCGCTGTGGGAAACGCTGCCCGCGGCCCAGCGATGCGCCCAAGAGACGTGGAAACGCTTGTCCACGCAGAGGCTCGGCCACGAGCACTTGTAGCCGCGGAATCCCGGCAGGCGAAAGGCAGGAACTGCCCAAAGGCCAGCCCAGCATGGACGGAGAGACAAAACGTGGTCCAAGAGAACACGACGGCCACTGACATGGCCCACGGCGTGGAGGAGCCTCAAGAACACTGTGCTCAGTGAAAGAAGCCTGTCACCAAAAGACAGATGACGTCTGATGCCGGTTTACGGAACTCCAGAACAGGCAGGTCCGCAGAGACAGGCAGCAGACTGTTGCCGGGCCCCGGGTGTGGCTGAGGGGTGGAGGTGGTCCGAGCTGACGGTGGTGATGGCGGCACAGCTCTGAGAGCACGGAGAGCACCGCGCACCCCTCTCCCACCGACCCGAACGATCCCCCACCTGAACCAGGGACGCGGGGCAACCCGCGCCGTGGCCAGGACGCGAGCAGGGACGGTCAGTCCGTCGGCCTTGGGCCCCGGGGTGACCAAAGAAAGAAGACTTCGAGTGCAAGGTCCCAGATGCCCTGACCAGGAGCAAGTGAAAGGGGAGGGCAGCCCCCATACCCCTGTCCTGGGCCGAGGGCAAGGGTGCTGGTTTGGGGGCGCAGAGGGCCCACCAGCATTTCAGCTCGTGGGCTCGGCCTGGAGACAGAGGGCAAAGAGATTCAGCTTCCAGTCCCGAGTCCACGAGCGCGGGAGCCTGAGGGTGCGGCGCAGCAGG